CTGCAAGTCCTACATGGGGGCAGTGCCCCATGGTGCTGCTAGGGAGCTCCTTGTGCCAGCCTCACCCCGTGAGTCTTCTCCTGGCACAGCCCTGAGTACTGTGACCGACTGGAAGCAGTGCCAGGGAGGGACTAGGAGGAACTGGGTTTGGATTCAGAGCTGCAAAAGACCTCACACAGCCCTGGACCATCTGCACATCACAGAGAGGACAAAGGGGACAACACCCCCCAATGAACTGCAATTATCTGAATATGCATTGCCCTTTGCTGTTTTGCATTTGTATGCACGTGCGTATACATACATGTGTATGTGCATGCACACACACGCATTTCATTTGACCCTGAACACAGAGCTATTGCCCTATATTCCAGGTTATATTTTCTTTGAAAACCAGGCATGCATGCACATATGCACATGCAGGGGTTGCCTTCTACGTGAGGTCACATAGCAAGCCTTCTGCAGTGGGAACCCTATGTTAGGAGCCCCCACCACGTATCTATCAAGGAGGAGCAGTGGCTGTAGAGTCCAGACACTACAACTCTTCAACATCAAACACAGGGCAAGACAGGAATATTAGGTGCAAAATGTTTTTACAGCATTTTTCTGGAAAGGAAACACTGCCAAACCAACTCTCCTGCATTTTGTCACAGTAGATATAGTACATTTTGATGTAGAGAAAGATCTGCCTAACCAGGATATCATGGACTCAGTTTATCGTGCCAGCTGAGCACATTTAATATTGCTTCATAGTCCCTAGATTGCTTGGACTTCGTATTGCTGATTGAAGGAGCCAACAAATTCTCATATCTGCAGGCTGGGCAAAACTGAAAGATTACACAAGGTCACTTTTAAAAAATGATAACAAAATTCAGTTTTCTAATAAGACTTAACTAAACCTTGTTCACTGAGCCACATCATTGTTCATGCTGTATGCCACTACTCTTCTAATCTTCTAATAACAATTTCCCAGTGTCTGAGAAACTCCCCAAAACTTGACTCCTGCCGTTTCACTAACACTTCACAGATTTATTTATAGAAGAGTAACATACATCGTTCCTTACAGTATGAATTTAGTCCCTTTCCTCAAGTAGAGGATGGCTTTGCCAGTGGATTTTTTCTTCATGTTTTGTGTAACTGAAATGTTTTTGAGAACAGTTTGCAGTAGAGTTTGACTGTCTAGGAACAGAAAGTTACTGTCTATGCAGGGACAAACTATGACTTAAAACCAATAAAGCATGGCTTTATTTGAAGACACAGCTGTGCTTGTAGCTGGGTGGTTCATCCTTACATTTGTTTTGGCAAACACCTCAAGGTCTGACATCTTCTGAGAGTGCTCCGACTCAACAAGTGTCCCTGAGCTCTCTCCCAGAAAGTATCAGATGTCGTCCTTTCATTACCACACAGCCAATGGGTAAAACAGATGAAAACACTCTACAATAACCCGGATCTTAGACAATATCAGAATAGGATTCAGACTGGTGTTCTTGCCAGGCTGCACTAGCATGGTAGAGGAGGTGTGCACATCTACAGTCACTTAGTTTCCCCGCTCAGACTATAAACTATCCCAATGTTCCCTTCCCTGTGATTGCAAATCCATTCCCCATCTACCCCATATGCTTTTGCAAACAGGGACCCACACTTGTTTTCAGGTGTAGGCAAATGCCTGTTTGACCAAGGCACTGTTGGATCCTATAGACCTTCAGTTCTTTATGCTCTGGAACATGTGAACCCTAAGAAAGTCCTGTCATGGGTCAAGACTTTGCCTTGTCACTTGTGACTATGCTACACACAAAGCCCTCCTGCCTCATGTTTCAGCTTCTCCCTCCTCCCATCTTCCTCACCAGGACTCATGAACACAGGCAGTGCAGACCCTCAGGCTTGCTGATGCTGGGCTGACCTCCAGCCCTGCCGGGCACCTGTTCAGCACAGGGGTGCTTTGCCCTGCCCTGAAGTGAATACCAGGAGCATCTTCGTGCTCTGCAGGCATATGCTGCACATAAAAGAAGGGGACTGATGCCACCAGGGTTCGTTCCACCTCTTTCTTCAACAGCTCTTTCTTCACAACAGTCTGAGCCAAGATCAGACACCTGCACCATATCAGAGACCTGGGCTTGATTGTGGACAGCTAAACCAGTTGAGATGGGCAGGGGGAGGGCATGCACCAGGTACAGTGTCATATACCACTGGAGATGGGGAAGCGGCAGTCTCTGTCAGCCACAGCCTCCTGCCTCATCAGTAGGCTGTTGTGGACACTATCAATGCTCTATCCACTTCTCCCAAGGTCAGTCCCTGTTTTCTTAGGAAGATCATATCAGCTGAAGCAGAGTAGGGAATTAGCAAGAGGCAAGAGAAAACTTTTGAAACATCACACAGTCTTTTCAAAACCACCTTGCCCTCTCTTGAACATCCAGACATATATTTGTTGCCTAGAAAAGTTGTTCTGCCACGAGGACAAACTCCAGCTTTGCTAGCCCGGGGAGGAAGAAATAACTTTCATTCCATAGTGAGCAGCATTGTGCTGGCTTTGTTGGGGCCCAGCCCCAGCCCTTCCTTCCTCTACTCCTACCTTACCACTCTGTCCCATCCACTTACCGCCACATCCCTTCCCTGCTTTTCTTGGTCTTGCTTCCAAATCTTGAGGAGGAAAGGCAGATCCCGACCCTGGCTGGGTCTTTGCAGCAGACATCATGGGAGCAGTAGCCTGGGGAGTTGCAGAGCAACAAGTTACTGCCAATCCATATGACTTACAGTAGCCACTAAAGTGTTGGTAGTGGTAATCACTTGTGCAGAGGTGCTCACCTGAGCCACTGCCGAGGTATTTGCATGCCGTCATGGCTCCAGTCGTGGCAGCTCAGGGAAGTGCATCCACATCAACAGAGAGGAGAAAACCCCTCTGCAATACTGCAGGTATCACCAAGGCTGGCCTAGAGAATTGTATAGTGCTCCTCTACCATCACTTTGAAAGTGCATCCAGATCTTAGTGGGGATGTGAAAGTCAGTATAGGAGTCTGTCCTATTTATTCTGGCTATAGTGTTTTATAGGCTTGAATTTATGACGCTTGAAGAAGGGAATGAGGAGTTTCCCAAACTGCATGCAAAGCACCCAAAGTTGTAACACTCTTTGACTGTCAGGAATGGGCTGAACTTCAGACAGTGCTGTACAGAAGCTTCCATTGACTTATATCTCCTCCCTCACTGATTCATCTGTGGTGTAACTGGACCACTTACTCTCCATGTTTCAGGCAGTAAGTTAGCAAAGGAAGCCAATGTAGTTGATTAATGAAGTTCATTAATCTGAGAATGTGAAACCTAGAAGAAACAAAGAACTTAAATTAAATAAACTTCACATTTTTTTATTTCTTTATCCTTTATTTAGTAATAGCACCCAAAGCTGCATTATATTAACACAAGTAATAAAGCTTTCATATTTTATTCCTACCAGTGCATTTCCAAATCCAGGTGAAATGCTGGAAATAAGTAATGCTGCCATACCATGAACACAGGGTGTAGATCACAATGATACACGACTTACAAATGAATCCCAATGTAATAAAATAAAAAGTTGTAGTTAGGTATGGAACCTGTAACCTACAGAACTGTGGCCATTTCTATTTCCACAAAGTACCATAACAAAAGAGCGGCTGTAGAAACTATAAAGATAACATACTTAATCATACTTTTTGCATCACTTTATTGAATACTCCATGTTGGATGTACAACTTATAGCTATAGTGTGTGTTGGCTACAATGCTACAATGAGAATGCGTATTGCTTGTCTTACAGAAAGGGTCATGAAATGTACGGACCTGTCTGCATGTTTAACAAAATGAAACAGCAATACAATAAAACTGCACCACATGTGAATATTGTAAATGGTTAAGTTATAAAGTCATTCATTCAAAAATCCAAATATTTCAATGAAAAAAGTATATAAAATGTAGTAAAACATAAATTACATTTAAAGGTCTGTACATGATTCATCCTGCAAATAGAAGCACAAAACCAGCACTTTGTACAGTATTGCTTATTTTGGTCTTCTAAAGTTCAAAGATTCATTTTCACTAAAAAGGCAGGAAAAAACATGGTTTCACATGCAATCCAGCAGTAATTGCGGTAAATCAAGTAAGCCTATAACCCCGCACAAAACCCAACACTTTTACAATGTAGGAACATAGATGTGGAGCCCTTTTCTGTACTTGATACCAATATGCAATTAAAGTTGGATTGTTAAGTTAGTGCACACCTACAATATCCCCTACAATATCCCCATTTTTGGTTAACAGTGTATTAAGGCTGCTTGTTGCTGAAAATACACAGCAGAGAAGGAATACTTTCATCCACAAATGCAGTCAGACGATCTCATTTGAAAGCTTCTGTCGCAGTCATTTGTTGGGAATGATGAAAGAAAGTCATTCTCTCTCCTCTCATGTTATTCCACAGGATGTTGTGGATGCTATAAGTTTATGTGGGTTCAGAACCATTTGGATAAATTCATGGTAGAAAATTCCATCGAGGGCTATTAAACAGAAAAAAAAATCCACTTCTGGCTTGGGAAGTCCCTAAGCCACAAATTGCTGGATGCTAGGGAAATACCCTGGGGAAATTCTACAAGGGAAATTGCCCTTGCAGTCTTCCCTGAGCAGACATTATCAATGGCCTTTTGAGACATGCTACTGGGCTGGACAGACCCATGGTCTGACTCAGCACAGCCAATTTTATGTTCAGTTTCCCTACTTTTCTGGTTATCATAATACAAACACAGATCAGTATTCTCAACTTATTTTTTCGGACTCAAAAAGCAAACAACAATCTCGTGTCCATTATATCAAAGAGATAAATACTATAAACTAAGCTGTCCATCACATCCAGGGCACTTCTTTATGCTCAGAGCAATTCTGCAACCATAGTTGGATTCCTTTTTGTGTTATTGGTTTAAGCATAATTCACTAACATTACACTCACATATCATGATATACATGATGTGCAATGCTACTCTGCAATACGTTGCACAGCAACAGTACATAACTGAAAAGCAGCTTCCCTCAAGAACTGTAGGACAGTAAAAAAGATTAAACCCAGCAATTCTATACCATCATATTTGCAAAATTTGATGGTGGCAATGGTCAATAAACCTGGTATATTATTACTGCTGCACTTTACATGGGTGTAGGTTTTTTTAGTTTTGTTTCTTTCAGTCACATCAAAATCACTGCTATTAAGCCTAAGGATCTACAGTCTCCATGCATGGAAGTGATGTGAAATTCTTAGTAATGAGGCCGAATTCCTTAGGCTTCTGATTGAATTTCTGCTTCGTCCATCTGAAGTGTGTCATTATCACCCAGCAATTCTGTTTCAGGCACAGAGCCCTCCTCTTCCTCCTCCTCCTGGACGGGATTCTGGGCGATGTCTTCTGTTCCATTGTGTGTGTCATCTGTGCCCTCCGAGAGCAGAGCAGCCCTGTCGGCCACGGATGCATTGGAAGGTGCTGTTGTTACATAGCCTGTGCTGGTGGATCCGCTCCCACTGTGGTGGGAGCCTGGTTTGGGAATGATCTGGGGAGGCATTTGCTGAGGAGCCATTTGCATTGGAATTTGGACAGGGTAAAAATTTGGCAAGTAAGCGCCATAGGCAGGCATTGGCTGGTAACCATTGACTGGAATGTAGAGCTGAGGAGGTGGAACCATCGGTCTCATCTGCCCTTTCATTTGTATGAACTGCGGTTGAGGGAAAGCTGGAGTTTTCTGCTTTGGTCCAATGTACCTAGCATTGCTGACGTTGCTAACAGGACTTGTGCTGAGAGAACTTGTTTGCGTGGTGTTGCTTGCCCCAGAGGTTTGCGCTGAGCTGTTGTAATTAGAAAGGTTTCCCCATGTTCTTAGTCTGTTGTGTATATCTTTAAATCTTGGTCTTCTGTTGGGAAATTCGTTCCAACACTCCAACATCAAAGTGTATATCCATGTGGGGCAGTCATCAGGACATGGCAAAACCTGTCGGTTCCTGATCATCTCTATGACATCTTGGTTAGAATAACCACAGTAAGGCTGCAGGCCATAGCTGAAAACTTCCCACAACACAACTCCATATGACCATATATCCGAATCAATAGAAAACTTGCCATACATAATAGCCTCAGGGGACATCCACCGGATAGGAAGAAGGGAATTTCCCATCAGTTTGTAGTAATCAGCAGCGTAAACTTCCCTGAAAAGGCCTAAATCAGATATTTTCACATTCAGTTTATCAAACACCAATATATTTCTAGTGGCCAAGTCCTTGTGGACAACGTGGTGGCTTGAGAGATATTCCATTCCTGCAGCTATCTGAGTCACAATGTGGAAAAAGTCTGCTGGTTCCAGAGTGGATTTTACTGTCTTGTCATCATCAGTGCTGCCAACATCTGAATGGGGAGATCTCATCACCAAGAACTCATGGAGGTCACTGTGGGAACAATAACTAAATATCATGCTTATGGGTTGTTCCTTTGTCACTATTCCCAGCAAACAAACAATGTTTGGGTGTTGTAATCGTGATCTCATCATTGCCTCATGTTTGAATTCTTCCCGTAGAGCCAGTTCTGCTTTGTCTTTAAGTGTCTTGATAGCAACAGCTTGTGTCTGTTCACCTGGTGCTGTACCAAAAAGGTGCCCCTTGTAGACTTTACCAAATCTCTCCTCTCCTAGTTCCTCCATAAACCGCACAGTGGACAGATTGATTTCTTTAAGTTTAGCCTGAAATGAAGTAAAGAAAGTCAGTCAGTAAAAAAATCACAATGTTTTCTAAACAACAGAATCTTTTATTAAAGAAAAGTTCCCTGTGGTTAGATTGCTCCAAATGGAAGATAAATTGGGCCAAAATTACTTTTCAGCTTTTTGTATATTCACATCAATATATTGATTTTACAGTTAGCCTTGAAATGAGTTATACTATTATCAGAAGTGTAAATTGAATTATGCTGCAAGATGATGAGTACATTTTCACAAAGCAGCGACCATATTCCTACATGAATAACTGGTTCAGAGTAAATCTGGCAAACGATTATGTCTATTAACTGCAGCTGCACTTGCCCTAGAAGATCTGCCCAGAGGTGCCCACTGGAGATGTGTCAGAAAAGCTCTGGGCACTGGCTGAGGAGGCGGCAGCCTCGGTGTGAAACATCCCTTCCAGCAGAAGGAGGAACAAAGCCTCTCTCTTTTTTGGTTCTGCAGTAGCAGATATGCCCTTTCTCCTCCATTGCACTACAGGAATGGCCCCTGCTGTACACAGTACCCCCGCTGAGAAACCTCGCTCTAGCTCTGATGAAGAGAGGGGTGGAAGAGGAGCAGAAGGAAGAAGGAATTTCTCTCTGGTACATGAAGGAAAAGGTGGCAAAGCGAAGAGTGAGAAATCCCCGGAGCCTCGCTCCTGCAGCTGGCAGGGAAAGCAAGGGAGTTTGTGACAGTGATCTAATGGGTCTGTCCTGACCAGCATGGGCTGGAGGAGTCCCCAGCTGAGCCAAATGCAGCTGACACAGCTTCTCACACAGGATACTGCAGGAGGGAGCAGGGCAGGCTGGAAAGGGGTTTTAACAGGTGATTTGGGAACAAGCTCTGATTTTAGTGGCCAGCAGACTGTGGAGTGGACCAGACAGTTTCCAGCACAGGCCAGACTCAGCCATTAAACCTCCCCCTTATCACACAAAATCAATGCAATTTGTTACATTTGGTAATATCCCACAAATTTTCTACACTTTCCTGAACAGACGCTGCCAATTGTTCCAAATTGAGCATTGTATTTTAGAGCTTGCATCTTGTAAATGCTGTGATTAAAAATTCAGCATGAGCTCTGAACAGGATTTTAGCATGGAGATCAGTTAGTTGACCCAGAAAATCATATGCAGGAGCAGAGATCTGTAGACAGAAGTTCGAAGCCATTTTCATTTCACTGCCCTTTGTGATACACAGCCTTAGAAACATGTTGCATCCTGGCTCAACTCCCCACTCGCTGGTGGTTCAGAATACCAGTGGACTGAGCCAACAGATTAGACATGAAACCCCACTGTGCATCCTGCTTTAAACAAGCAAACCTGCGACATCATTACTAGGAGCAAAAATGAGCTGCAGGCTGAAGACTGGATCAGAAATAGCAACATTTCCAGTCACTGAGACAACAGGCAAAATGGGGTTTGACAGGTAAGGGCAAATGTCGTAAAATACTTTGTCCTGAAAGCTGTTGCCCGAGGTCAGGATTTATAGATACACTGCAAGACCTGGTTTTCACTGAAGTAGATGGCCAGCACGGTGCGGAAATTGCGTCCCTTACAGCGCAGCTCAATTCGAACACCAACAACCTGAGACACTGAAAATCATGACACTTTGGAAATATGTGGCCTAAGCAAATTCTGGAAAAAATACCTGTTTGTGTTGATTAATGAGTGGCATTTCCATGTCCTGGCTGGGAGATGCCATCAGCTGGCGGCGCTGTGGTGTAGCAGCAGATGCCTTCTGCTTGTTTCTGCACATACAGACCAGGAAGAAAAGGCAGGCAATAACCAGAGGGATGGCTATACTGGGAACCAGGATGTAGAGGATTCCCATTTTACTGTTGTCACGTGGACCTGTCAGGCACAGAAATATGCATTGTTTACAACAATTATTTTTAATGCATTCAATAGTACAGCAAAAACAAAACAACCAGCCAAACAAAAAAGAAACAAACACCACCAAACCAAAACCTATGTTATGATTTTTAATATTGTATTTTAAACAAAAAGTAAACTCCCATAGCTTGAAAACAGAAATCACATTACCTTCTCCCCCTTCTGCATAATTTTCCATTAAATATTTCAAAGAGGTTTGAATGGATATAGCAACTAGCAGTATAAAGATAAGCTAGGAGCCCCACATTTAATGTGTTAGCTGTAACAGTATGTGGTTTATTTCACTTTATTTTTGAGTCGTCTGTTTGTGGAAACTGCAGAACACAGACCAGAGTATCATTGCATTATCTTGTCCAGGGGATAGAAAAACAAGTCTTCATCACAGTATATAAAGCAGTGAACTCAATATGATAAACCACAGCACAACATTGCAGTCTGGCCTTCTCACCCAGCTTCAGCCATTTCATCAGCACTTTGCCCACTTTCTATCTCCACTGGTACTACTTCTGCCCAGAATAAAATAAATCTCACTTCTTACTGCCAGAGATGTTATCTGCTCTGTACTTAATAGAATTAAAATGTTTTTATGTTACAGCGAGACAGACATGAAAAAGCCATCAATACACCTAATAAGACTGTTCTGGAACCTTCCTAAAATGCTTTTTTCTTGATGCTTAGAGACTCTAGGAAAGCATAGTGATGTCCGAAATGTTCATTGGAACTGCCTGGGATGTTTTCTGCAATACGTGGTTTTGCTATTTGTGGCTACTGCTTTCACCACAACCACATCCCAGTGTTATCTTTACACCGTGTTACATGCAACATAGAAATTTATTATAAATGTCAAATCATGTTACTGTAAAAAAAGTGAAGTAACTAAGAAATTTCATATCAGTTTTGAGTGCTCTTAACTATCCAGGCAATCTGTAACAAAACCACTTTTATGGCTTCCATGATACATCTGTTGCTGCAGGAAACATACTTTTCTTCCTAGTGAAGCAGAGTATTAAGTTGCTTTGTCGTGTCCAAAGACAGTTACCACTGTAACAGCCCTAGAGTGAAGGCTGTACCAGTACAGGGAAGTGAGTGGGACAGTATTAAGCTGTGAGAGCTGTGCCTTTTATTTTTGCTACCAGTTGTGCAGTACAGAGCCACTAGCAGATAGTGTAGGACTTTTCTGATAAGATCATCTGTTTTATGACATCTCTGCTTCTGCACTTCACACGGTTTCCTTCCAACCAAGCATGGTGCTATATCTCCCTCTACAGGATCTGAAAATCTTTGCTGCCTCCAAGATGCCATACAGGGTGAAAGCAATGTGCCATTGAGTAGTGTGAGCAAACCAAACTCATACAGTTGATAGGTTCATCAAGTTTGGCATTTGACAAGTTAGAATACAACCTACAGCAGTATTGTTAATTATTATCTCAGCTTAAGCACCCAATAAGGACTAAAAAAGAGTCACAATATCTCAGTTACAAGCTCTGATCTCCAGAAAACATTAAACACCTAAAACAAAAAACAAGGACGCCGTATTACAGCAAGTGAAACATTTGAAAGCATAATCCTCTTCAGTGAACTGTACTTGTAAAAACAGGGAACATTCAAAATTACACAGGATTCAGGACAGTAGTGGGGGAAATAAGAAAGAGAATACATACTACAAGAAGGTATGTCACACAGTTCCATGCGTACGTTTTTATTCTTTGTAAAACACCAGGGACCATCCATCTGACCTCCAGGATTTCGGCAATATGCATGTCCTCCACCTAGCTCTGGAAACTGTGTGCTTGTCAGATCATGGCTGTGGGGACTCTGGGAGTCCCAGAGTTGGCAAGTGTGGCCAGACTTGGTAACACTGACCGTCCCTCTGTAGTCTGCTCCAGAACCATTGTAGCACTGATGATCTGCAACACAGGGTTTGGCAAAACATTGCAAATAACAAAACAATCAAGAGCCAGCAAGACCAAAAGGGTTGACATGTATAGACCATGTATGCAAAAAGTACTTGAACTTAGGTACTTCAGGACTTAAATGAAAGCTGTGGGTTTTGAAATTTCAGTTCTATGAGTATCTGTACTCTTATATCCAGTTGTTTCTGGATTCTGTCTTGAAGTGCCTCAGCTCTATGGCTATACACACCAGTATCTGGTAACTCTGAATGCGAGCTGATACCAAGGAGTATATATGGACCTTTAGATACAGGACAAGATAAGTTAAACTAAATTAGAGATATGAGTTTCACTTCAGGGAAAGTCTTCAGATGCCAACAGTGTACACTTTCGCCACTTTTATTTCTCATAATCTTCCTGTCTTCCTCACACTGCTCACTTCCTAGACAAGTTAGTGCTGCATTTTCTAATGCCTCTTGGTAATTTTTCCTTCTTTTCTTTTTTAGAAAGAAAGGATTCAGGCTTTTCTTCTCTTTAGATAGATCACTTTCATATCCACTGAACTCCTGTCTTTAGTCTCTGTTTTGCTGCTATCCTCTCTTTGTACTTTTTGAGTGCTTGTCTCCCATATGTACCACCTCAACTGAATAATGCATTTTTCTGTATGTCTGCAACATTGCCTTCTCCATTTTTCTGAGTCCCTCTCCCTAGCCCTCAGGAATCCAGCTCTCTCAAAGCCCTTCCTCCAAACCCCCAGGGTACTCATGCTGCAGCTGTTCCAACAGAGGAGTACCACTGGTTCTGAGGATCACAGATGACTGTTGACAGTCTTTTTGTTGTTTTATTCTCATTCCTTTTGCTTGATACCTCTTCCCTGGCTGATTTGACTTTGTCATCATTTTCTCAGTTATTTCTGCCTCTCAGCTACACTAGATTATTGCCTTACAGGCACACAGCTAGTCTTCCATGCCCACCATTATGCCATGACGCCTGCTCCTAACTGTGGGTTCAGGCAATGGATATTCAGAATAACCTTATCACACTTTGAACTTTAAAGACTTTTAGTCTCTTGGAGCTTCCTTGCCGAACATCATAGGGGGTGGTGATTAATTGCTAGGAAATGGAGTAGGCAGAAAAATTGTCAGCACATAATTACTGACAACAGAACAGCCCTTCTACTCCTGGATGCAAATATAAATTCAGGGAAGCAAGATCAGTGGTTTCACCCATCCTATGTGGGTGAAGAAAGACAATTATACTCCATGCTCAATTTACAGGATTAATATTCTTGTGGATTTCCATATAGAAAGAATGAACATTAAATGTTTAATTACTTAACAGATTATTCCAGTGAAGCTTCCACAGCCTATTTGAGGCTTACAGATAGGTAAACAGAACTCAGAAATGGCTGTATGGGGAGACTCATCCAGAAAGGCAAAGACTGAGCCACAGGTAGGTGTACGCATGTGGGAAGGGAACCCTGCAAAGTGCTGCTGCCCCTTGCAAATCTGAGTCAAATTGGTTGTGTGAACACAGTTTTATATCCCAGGGTGGTTGGTATAACCCTTTTCAATACTAAGCAACATCCTTTAAACTTTCTCGCCATCCTACCTATACCTTACAACAGTGCAAGATTATGGTCAATATTAACATGATAAAAAGTAGTAGTGTCCAGTATAGCAGCACTTTCTTTAGAAAAAGAATGACTGATAAAATATTGTCTCTCAGACCCAACCTGAGGAAGCAACAAACCCTACTTTTTCCCAGTGATGAAACACCAGACTTACATCGGCTGAGTCTCTCCACAGGGATCCCAATCCTTATGCAGTTGGCAGCTTCCAGGGTGTCAGGTCGTGGGAGATCCTCACACTTAGGCAACTGTAGCTGCATCAAGATGAGGGGGTTTGACCTAGCAATGTTGTACTCCTGCCTACAGAGATCATTCTCCAGAACTTCACATTCATCCCGGCATAACTCCCGTGGCTTTGGGGTCCGAGAGCGCTCATCACACAGGGGAAACACAAAGTGGCAGAAGGATGGTATAGCAAACTGTGAGCACTGATCAGACAAATGCGTGGAAGTGCCAATCATGGTAAATGCAGCTGGAAAGGAACAAAAATACTGCTTAAGTACTAATTCACAAAAAGCATCAGAAACAACATAATTTTCATGTAATTTGTCTTTTACAACTTCCATCTTTTCTTGAGGGTCTGAAAGTCTACAGAGCAGTGGGGAAATGAGGTCATTTCTGTTATGAAAGAGAGTTGACAAATGCAGAAAGCAAACCCAGCATCCCAGAGTCCCTCTGACATCTGCACAGAGCTTCTAGGACCTCAGTTCTTAGGAAGTTACCCAAGTGACTAGCATTGAGCAAACTGTTGGCACTTGGCTAATTTTAACTTGAAAGGCTAAAGACTGAAGGCAAGATACACCTGCCAAGATGCTGACATGTATTTCCAAAGTTCCTAATTAGGTAAAATCTGAATGAGGATCACCTGACTTCTTCCTCATGTAGACATTTTGATCAATAAACAAGACAAGTGTTTTTCAAGTCTTGACAGGCAAAAGGAAGTGTGCCATTGGCATTTGGGGAGATATTGCTATTAATAGACATGAGAAGCTTAACAGGCAGCAGTTTTGGGAAAAATGAATGTAATCAATCTCAGGATACTGATCACATTAAGATGAATGTCATAATGAGTTAGGAACTTAATCATCCCCTTCAGCTCTCAGCATCTACATGCTGAATTTTATCTAAGAGTTTTCTTGCACATTGCAAAGAAAGACAAATATGCATGTGCATCATGTATCTGGAGATGAATCAAGCTTTAAATGTAGGAACATTCATTCCCACACCAGAAAGCATCATTTGTGCGTGAGTCTTGCTAGACTGCACGTTCCACCAATGCACACTGTAAAGAGAGGAAATGAGCAGTTCAAGTCATTCAGCAGTCTATTTACAACCTACAAATCAATTCTTTCTCTCTTGTCTAGCTCTCTTCTTTCAACCGTCTACTTCCTCCTGCCACCTGCTATCAGAGATTCTCCTGTCTCTTCCTAAACACCACACATGCAGCAAGCAGCCCCAACTCCAGCCTTTTGTACTGTTTACACCTTTGTTTATTTTAATACAGGAATATTAACACAGGAATATAACCATTTATCAGTCATGCAGGGAACACTGCATGCAAGCACAGTATCAGGCCTCAAAAGACAGCTGTGACATGTGTTTGTCCCGAAGACTAACAGGGAAAAAATAAACCTGGAGGAGTGAAGTGGTCAGTGTTGGCTATTTGAAACACCACGCTAATTTTTGTGAAGGTGTTACAGAATTTAGATCAGCATGAGTGTAGAGTGCACAATTGACAATCATGTCCTTATTTTGATGGAAGCCAGCAGGACTGTGTGGTGGCATCTAAGGGCTTTATTTTTTGAGTTATTCAACAGATATTAAACAGCACAGCAAAGACATTGCTAATCACATATATCCACAGGTCAGGGGTCAGGTCCATGCATTCTTTATTGCTGGCCTTCCAGTCTTTCAAACCATGCCTCAAGTTTTTTCTCCAGAAGCGTCCTTCATTTTTAATAGAAGGCTGCAATTCCCACCTAACCGCATAGCCAGGACTGAATAGCACCAGGGACCGTAGAGACAAAGGGAGTATATTTCACACATCAGCACAGCAGGGAAATGAAAATCCAGAATGAAAATTCCCCGCAGATGTCGGCTGTAACCTTGTTAAATGTTCTCGGTGTCGGGCGGTAGGTGTCACCGTTTCCCACGCACAGCCTCCCCTCATGCCTTACGGCTGCGTGCCTTACGGCTGTGAGCACAAAGATCTTCCACCAAAAACTGCATTTAGGAATTATGGGCAGAAGTATAAGCCAAATCTTAGCAGTAGTTATACAGCAGATTTATTTTTTTTTTTTTTTTAAATCTAACGAGTTACTGCAATTTCAAACATACCCTGTCGTTTGGACAGAGAACACCCAGTCTTGCAATACCTGTTTTACATTTAAGACTCATAAGAACCAAGTATGTTGTGAAAGCCTCAGGGTTATTTTGCATAAGGCATTTGCTAGGTCCTTCAAATGTATATAGTTTGAAAATGCCATATTATTAATGGATTATCATTACTGCTTAACTAGGCACTAGGCAGCTTTACATGGTTGTTCACAGAGTTTTCCTAAAGAAGAACGGTTCTGTCAGAAATTCTCCTCAGCTCCGGGACAGAGTCCCAGCCTCAGCCTCCAAAATCTAACCAATAATCAGTGGTATTAAGGATCCAGCAGACAGGTCATGAATGCCCATGTTGTATATTCCAGAAACAAGTATAACTTGATCAATAAATACTTTCTGGAAGATATTAGAGTTTTTGGGGGGTTGTTTTTTTCTTTTTTTTAAAAGAAGGACATTATGAACCTAATTCATGGAGTTAGAAATTTAATCATTTCAGAGAGCTGAACATTTCCATATTGCTGAAAAACATCCAAACAGAGTAGAGATTATGTCGCAGAAAAAAATGCTATCAATATTACGCATTAATTAATGGCATAATGGTAAAAGAGGCTGGAATTACAACAGAGTACAGGAGAAAGGAGGGAGAGGAATGAGTCATAAAGCACAAGGAAAGGTCAGCACCTGGATTTTGCCAGTCCCAGAATCTGATCACCATCTCAAGAACAGAAAAAAAACTGACCTCTATTTCTGGCTTGACAATGAGCCTTTAAGGTAATATCTTTAAGGAGATAGGCTGGGGGAACTGGGATTGTTTAGCCTGGAGAAGAGGAGGCTGAGGGGAGACCTTATCGCTCTCTACAACTCCCTGAAAGGAGGTTGTAGTGAGGTGGGTGTTGGTCTCTTCTCCCATGTAGTTAGCGATAGGATGAGAGGAAATGGGCTCAAGCTGTGCCAGGGGAGGTTTAGGTTGGAAATTAGGAAAAATTTCTTCATGGAAAGGGTGGTCAAGCATTGGGACAGGCTGCCCGGAGAGGTGGTGGAGACACCATCCCTTGAAGTGTTCAAAAAACGGGTAGATGTGGCACTTTGGGACATGGCTTAGTCTAGTCTACCTACCCTTGATTGGTTTAGTGTGGACTTGGTAGTGTAGGTTAATGGTTGGACTGGATGATCTTAAAGGTCTTTTCCAACCTAAATGATTCTATGATTCTATAGAGCTGACAAGTGAAGCCTAACTCTTTTTGGCAACTAGTTATGTTAAAACTGCAGATTCAATTAGTTAGCCATATCTGGCCAGACACAAGCTCCTGCTGGACTGAGTTAATTGGCCACATATTATGATAAACAGTTTACTCTATTCCACAGATTCATTTGCTTGCTCTACTTGTGTACATCAGAGTCACAACTGCTAACATCAGCTAACTGAGGTCCAGTGAAGAAAACCCATGTTGATGTACAGCCCATTAAAAGTCATTAAGGTTTTGGATGCATGTTTGTGACTCTGTACCAAAATGATGATCGGAGAAAGATTCAGCAGGGGCAGAGCACAGGAAGGTCAGCTCTTGGTTTATATAAATCAATGTGAAATCTAGACTCTGCCAGGATTATGCAATGGGGGAGGAAACCCAAAGGAAAAGCCACCATACATTTTTCAAGAAAATCAAAACCCAGTAATTTTTTATTGTATCACAAACTGATTTTAAAAAACATCTTCTATTTGAATTCATCATGCAAAGAGCTCCAGTATAAACTACAAGCTGTTAAAAAGTCAATACTGTGACATTCAACTTAAGGACCTCGAAGAAGCTTCTACATATTACAGCAGATATTCATCTTCCTTGCTCCAAATTTTGCTAGCTGCACAAGTGGGAAACTGGCTCACCTCCTCTAAACCTTAATATAAGGATGTCTCAGTCATTGATTGATAAAACTGAAAAGGATGATAGCACTGTTTATACCTGAATTGGATACTTTCATAATGTTTTTTGCCCTGCCACAGATATGTATGAGCTTACCAGTAATTCGGTTTTCAATTTCCCCTTGCATCTGGAGGGAGTCCACATAAATGGTCCTGTTTCCAATGATTCGTGCACATGCAATTCCCCGGTATGGCTGACAGAACCCGTCTTCATGGTAATCTTCTCTGCAAAAGACAGGTTGGGATTTTATAAGCAGAAGTCTAGCTGTCCCTAAAGAATTTTTGCAAAATACATTCTTATATAAGGAGAAAACCCCAAAAGACTGTAAATCTGCACTTTTTCCATTCCCCAGGTGCAGTTTTCTCCTCCAATTCTCTCTGCGCTGCCTTAGAAGTGTTAATGAGGCACCCTGTAAATAGCTCATTAGAGAAAGAAGTAAACCAAAACCCAAGATTAACTTAAAAATCATATGCTAATAGTAATGGGATTTGACAGATGAGTCTATTAAAAAGCTGTTAGACTGAGACAGCAACATAGATCTTGTTACATGTCCTCATGCATTTTTGGCATCTAGCTGCACCCAGTACAATTAGGCAAACAGTTGGTTCTCTTCTCCCACCTCTCTCTCCCTTGTTTCATTTCCTGTAGTGAACAGCAGAAGAGACCTTGCCAAGCTTTAATTAAAACACAGAATAATTTGGAACTCTGAATTAGGTAAACAGAATAAAAAGTAATCAAGGTTTTAACCTCTTTTTCTCTTCTCTCTAGTCAAGAGTCAATGCCAAATTCCTCTTCCAACATGTATTTTAATACATTTTTCAATTCAAAGAGGTTTTGGGCCAAATTTTACTCCCTTACATCAACATAAATATTTTGGCAAAAAAGCATTAGCCTAAAGGCTTAGTGGTTCAACACAACATCCCTGAAGACCCAGTAAATAGTACAGAGCTGATCTGTAGGTCATAACTGTCTGAGCACTGAAAAGGGGCTTCAGAGTGAGAGCGCTCTCAGAGTTAATATCCGGTATGCTGTGTGTTTCCTCTGGCAGGGCACAACCTCTGTGCTAGGATTCACTAGACTGATGGATTCACATCACATCATTCACTGCATGGTGGACCAAAAAGGCATAAAACATAATCTAGAACACCATGACTCTAGAGTAATCCTAGGACACTCAAAAGCTTAATCAGATTTTGTAACTAAACAGTCACTTCAAAAGTCTGAGGTACCTCTCCCATACCAGCAATTTTTGAAGTATTACTTCAGTACTATTGTGCACTTTGTTATCTTTGGATATCAATACCTGTTTTGGTCACCCATGTTTCCACTTCTCTTACAAATACCTTCACCCTTCCTTAGTGTGCCACATGAGCCGGACAAGACTGTCAGTGAATACGTGTAAAACCACGTAACTCCAGCTGGGCCAAATCAGCACGAAAACCTGCTGCCTGACAACAGCTAGCCATGACGAGCACATCACCCAACACCTACGCAGTGACAAGTGCAGCCCATTATTTCTGATACCTTATTCTGTCTGAGGAACCTCTTTTCATTTTTCCTCTGCTATGTCTCCCTGATAAAGCTCATCTCTTCAGGGAAATGTTAGCACTGTTTCTTAAAGTATAAACTCTTTGGAAGTGGAAAGTTGGGCAGGACTGTCCATACGGTGTAGCCAAAAGCTGGAACCATCCATCACCAGTAGAACAGCATGTCTCCCTTTCGTCCCAGAAAGACAATGACTCAACAGGACCCAATCCATCACGCAGCTGCTAGATAAACCATGGTGATATGAATGAAGTGTCTCATGTAGTTGTTGTCCAGATCTGGCCTTTACTTCCTATCGCAGTAAGATTGTTAAATATTGATAAAACAGCATTTTGTCTACAAACTCTGAAACAAGTTCTACTTCCATAAAGATATGTAAGCTTTTGATTATGGTGGATGAAGGAAGAGTCTTTCAGGATCAATTAATGCCTGCACTGAAATTCTTTCCCTCTCATAGCAAAACCTCTAATTTTGCAACAACTGCATCATGCCCTTCAGGACAGAAATATCAAAGCATTTTATCTGTGCCTGTTTTATGATCCTTGACCACCTCAGTAGGAAGTCAGCAATTCCCATAAGGAGCTGAATGAATATGAAACCCCTATTTGACCTCCTTCTCAAGAGTAAATTCATACCCCCATCCTGCAGAACAAAGTCTGCAATGTATCTAACTGAAACTGTACCTCACACTTCAACTCTCAGTGCAGGGCTCTCCTGCCAGCACAAAAAAAAAAGCACTCCAAATCCAAACAGCATGGGTTTGGTGACAAAAGCAGTGTGATCTCTTACTTAGCTCAGTTTATTTATTTCTGTCAAGAACTTCTAAATACAGCTTAGATACTATATATACACACATATGCACCCCTCTCCCACGTTATAGTCAGCTGCTGATTAAACTAAACTGGATATGACCATTACCATGGATGCAAGCAAAAGTAAACAGTAACCTGATGTCAGATCCTCTGACAGAAGCTGGGCTGTTATTCTACATGCATCTTTGTCAGGTTAGGCAACTCAGTGGATACAGTTTGACTAGTGCTAGTGATCGAGGGGACAAAATAACATTAGTGTTCTTAGGAAAACAGTTGCTTTTAACAAAGATGCAGAAGTGGCAGTACTTAGAGTCTCCTTACAGATAACTCTTGCCCTCAGCTACATGTACACTCAGCACATGGCAAAACATCCTCAGCAAAAAGCAAGCTGGGGGGAATCTGATAAAACAGTGCAGGAGCGGCATCATGCTCAGTTCAAACAGGAGTCCTTGCAACCACGTGTGACTTTGATTTGTGCTCCAAACCATATGCCAGCAATTCAGCTGCTGATCAGAGCAAAAGGTAAAAGCTGCTGAAAATAGGCAGAAATACTGACTCTTCAATTTCCTCTTGCTTGAGCTGTAGTCTGCTCTGATCAAGAACCCTGCTAAAAGCAGAAATCTAACTCCACAAGAGGAATCCAGAAGACTTCAATTTGTTCCACTTGCAGAAATCTTACAAGCTAACTTCCATAAGTATTTTTCTACCTTTGTTCTTTATTTTTTCTTTCTGAATGTTTCAAGATGCCGTTACCTTTTCTCACTAGTGATTTTCTTCCATTTTTATATAACTATGTTTTTTACAAAACAGAATCAGGAACATCCTAAGTGTAGACCTTTTTTCACCTTTGCTGGAGGGCAGTCTCAAAGACAGTGTACTTGGAACATGAACTTTCTGAGCACTCAATTAGAGTGGAGGTAAAGTATATTCTCCTACCGAGAGAACTCTCCTCCCAACTACTTGCCAGATGTTTGACCAGAGTTTGAATTTAGAAATAAAATTGTAAAGAATCTGACCAAACGGATCCTCTGTTCCTAAAACCCCAACTTCCATTTCTTAGGATGAATACCATTAGTTTTCCAGGCCCATAAGGTGATCTTCGCCAGAACAATAAATTTAGGAACTAGCCTTTCTAATATAAAGCTAAAGATTTAGAGAACCTTCTATTTCAGGCATGCACAAATAAAACCAAAACACTGATACTACCTTTATGTACAACGTGGGGTGTCTCTAAGATTCACCAGGCTTACCAGGTCTGGAAACATCTTGAAGTACCAAGCACTGATAAGACATTTACAAGTTCCTTATCACACATGCACTGCACAGCCTGATTAAACACAGTCTGCCTTCAGGTTTGTGGGCAGAAGAAGTCTGTATGAAATGGAGAATTAATCAAACAAGCAATGTAGAAGAAAGAGGCAGGTTCAGTGGTACGGTGCCAGTTGAATCTTCTCCCAATGACAGAAACCATAACTTCCAGGGACATCTGGGTCTATAAAGGAAATACTGGAAGAACCAGGTGTGTCTGAATAGCAATAAAACACAGCATGCATGAATAGGAATCTCTCTAGATGGAGGTCATGCAAGAGTTCTATAAGGTAGATATCTCCTCTAGAGGTATATGGAGAGATTTCTAGGCGTGCTGCATGTGCTGCAAAAACATTCTGAACATCGCCACCCCCACCTTCACATTAAGCATTACTTCAATTTCACATGTGACACAGAAAGAACACTGAACAAAGGACCACAAAAGAAAATACCTAGGAAACAAAGAGGTTTTTCTTAATGGAACATCTGAAATGCTGAAAGAATACATCTGGGCACAATACACTATATGATATCTATGTAACACAATCTATTGTATGTAACTGTCACAGCTGAACAGTCCAGAGGGCATATGAAACAAAAAAGTCCCAGTAAATAAAAGGCAACCATGGAAACTCTGTTCAAATCACCTTCTGAAGCATGTAAGTCTGATGAGAGCTTTCAGTATGTATTTGGTGCCCCTGAAAACACAGTGAATGCAGACCTAGTGGTTTTGCTGGAAAAGAGAAAACACATGAAGGCATAATGATCTTTAGCAAGGTTTTATGAAGGGATTCTGAAAGCAGAGTTGACAGGTACTAGATATTTATTTGCTAGTAAGACACCTTTTTTCTGATTGCATCCCACAAACTTAACTTACAATGACAAAAGAAATTTGTAAGTTAAATCTATTTTGCTGAAAACAGAAGAGACACAACACTGTGCATCAGCCATAAAAAGAAATTCAGAAATCCTCTAGAAATCTCAGAAAGAAAAACTTTTTTGATTTCATACATTAAAGAAACCCAGCTAATTTAATAATACCCTACCAACCTACCCTTGTAATAAAATGAACAAAAATGTTATTTAAAATTATAGTTTGAAGACAATTTATTTTAATATATTCAAATAATAAATTTAGAAGTTATTTGGAGGGACACATCATCAGCTTACACTTTACCAAAGTAAACAACACTAATAACAATTCATAGAATATAACAAGCTATTCCAGAAGTTAGGTTTTTTATAAAAGAGAGTAGAAACTTTGTTAGAGCAGTTTCCCACAAGCAAACTAAGTGCAGTTAAAATTTCCTATAAATTTTCCCACAACAAATAACAAACCTGAAGTTTTGACCCTCTTTCATATTGTCCAGGGATTAAACAGCTTTTAATTAAAAACTGTTAAATACTAAGAGAGGATATTAGGACTCCCCTTCATACTGCATTACAAGTGGAGTGACAAAGCAAGGAAAAATGCACTGAAAGCCACAGTTAGACAGTGACAGGTGAAGGAGAGGACAAATAATTTATGTCATCCTATTTGCTATGGGTAGAGGAATACAACATTTGGTATATGGTCACTCATGGGAAAGTCTCAGAGTTTTTGATAGCTACAGCTTGAAAACTGATGGCAGAAACCATGCAAAGAGGACAATTATAATCACCAGTAAGATCAGAGGGAAAAGGACAGGCATCATATTTCAGATTATGAGTTTACTTAGCCTTGTGTGTGGCTACTTCATAAACATAAAGCACACAAGTTAAATGACCTGCAATACAAAGAATTAAAGGCATAAAGGGTTTATGTTTAATCAGAGAGGCAAATCACTCTGGCCTGTGGGAAGAATATTATAAAGGGCTACAATAAAAATATCAGGAATTTCTGTTTTTAATATACATATGTATTCATGGTTTGTTTATAGTGCATCTCAAAATCAGGACCTCTTATAATCTGGCACTGCAGCCCTTGTAATTTGTTACCCTTACTCTTGACATGTTACCATATCATAGTGCTGGGGAGCAAATTCAAGTCTCAAGGGGATCACTTTTCAGTGGCTAAAATGAGTTCACGTCTCCAGATATTCACTCGCTCCCACTGAAACAGGTCACAGAGAAGACCTGAGAGAAGAGAAACACACTACCTTTGTCATATGCTGTATCACATCTATAAAATTTGCCCCCTGTTGAAAACACAGTGAATTTATATTAATGTTACTATACAAAAATACTTGGTACTTTCCAGTCAGGTTTGTATATTTACCTTTCAGGAAAACACCAAATAAAACACTCAATTTCTTGTTTCACTATGAATTAAAATTTGTCAGGAGTGTTGACTTTGAAAGTAATAGTTACAATAGGCTATAAAACAATAGGCATCCTGTTGTGCACAGGAGATCAATAGAAGTTTTACTACTGACATTCAAGGCAACAGGACTGGGATATAAATATTTGATAGAGGAAAAGAATGGGATTTTTCAAAACCAGTATTGCCTGAACTATTACTATTCATTCATTGAGAAGGGCTGGGCTAATGCCAGGTGCTCCTGATGTTGCCCATAACTTCTACCCATACAGGGCAGAAATTCAGTAAGATGCACAAATGGGTTGGAGGTTTTAGCAAAGTTTCCAAAACCCAGGTGTACAGGAAAACCTCAAAAA